TTTTTGTATTTTTTTAGTAGAGACGGGGTTTCACAGTGTTAGCCAGGATGGCCTCGATCTCCTGACCTTATGATCTGCCCGTCTCGGCCTCCGAAAGTGCTGGGATTACAGGCTTGAGCCACCGCGCCTGGCCATATTATTTTAAATTAAGTGCATTAAATTTATTTTTGTATGTTCCATATTTATTTTCTATATTCCATTGTGTATATGCACCATATTTTATTTATCCATTCATCTGCTGATAGATACTTAGGTTGCTTCCAAATCTTGGCTGTTGTGAGTAGTGCTACAGTAAACATGGTACAGATATATCTTCAATATGCTGATTTCCTTTCTTTGGGGTATATAGCTACCAGTGGAATTGCTGGATTGTATGGTAGCTCTATTTTTAGTTTTTGAGGTACCTACAAACTGTTCTCCATAGTGGTTGTACTACTATACATTTCCACAGTGCACAAGGGTTCCCTTTTCTCCACATCCTCTTCAGCATTTGTTACTACCTGTCTTTTGGACAGAAGACATTTGAACTGGGGTGAGATGATATCTCATTGTAGTTTTGATTTGCATTTCTCTAATGGATCAATGATGTTGAGTACATTTTCATATGCCTGTTTGCCATTTGAATGTGTTCTTTTGAGAAACGTCTATTCAGATTTTTGCCCAGTTTTCAATCAGATTAGATTTTTTTTTCTATAGAATTGTTATAGCTCTTGATATAGTTATAATTACAGCTTGTGATATAGCTAGTGATATAATTTGGATATTTGTCCCCGCCTAAATCTTATTTTGAGATGTAATCCTCAGCGTTAAAGGTGGGTCTTGGTGGAAGGTATTTTGGTCAAGGGGGAGGATCCCTCATTAATTGATGCTGTCCTCGAATCCAGGCCCTTATTTCTGCCATATACATTTTGGAAAACTTTTTCCAGTGTTAAGAATAAATATTGGGAGTTTTACTGAAATATTAAATTTATAGAAACTAGTATTAATAATGAGTCTTTAAACATTGAAATTCACTTTATTTTTAAATTTTTGTGGGTACAAAGTAGGTGTAAATGTTTATAGCGTTTTGATACAGGCATGAAATGTGTATAAACACATCAGGGTAAATGGGGTATCCATGACCTCAAGCACCCCTCACAAGACCTGAGTACTCACAAGATCTGGTTAAGTGTGTGGTACCTCCCTCTCCCTGTCTTTGCCCCTGCTCCCAGCATGTGAGGAACGTACTCCCCTTTTGCCTTCCACCATGGTTGGAAGCTTCCTGACGCCTCCCTACAAGCTGATCAGATGTTAGCACCATGCTTCCTGTACAATCTGCAAAACCTTGAGTCAATTAAGCCTCTTCTTTATAAATTACCCAGTCTCAAGTATTTCTTTATAGTATTTCAAGAATGGCCTAATACAGACAGATAGTTTGCAAATATTCTCTCCCATTCTATGGGTTGTCTCTTCACTTTGTTTCCTTTGCAATGCAGAAGCTTTTTAACTTGATGTGATCCCACTTGTCAACTTTTGCTTTGGTTGCCTGTTTGTCAGGTATTACACAAGAAATCTTTGCCAACTCCAATGTCCTGGAGAGATTCCCCAATGTTTTCTTTTAGCTGTTTCATAGTTCGAGGTCTTAGATTTAACTTTTTAATTGATTTTGATTTTTGTATATGGTAAGAGATGGGGGTCTAGTTTCATTCTTCTGCATATGGATATCCAGTTTTCCCTGCACCATTTATTAAAGACATTATCTTTTCCCCAACATATGTTCTTCATACCTTTGTGAAAAGTGAGTTCACCGTAGATGTATGAATTTGTTTCTGGGTTGTCTATTCTGTTCCAATGTGTTTGTTTTTATGCCAGTATCATGCTGTTTTGGATACTGTAGCTCTGTAGAATAATTTGAAGTCAGGTAATACGATTCCTCCATTTTGATTTTTTTTTTTTGTTTGTTTTTGCTCAGAATAGATCTGATTATTCTAGGTCTTTTGTGGTTCCCATATCATTTTAGGATTGTGTTTTCTATTTCTTTGAAGAATATTAAAGCTTTCTGGATGTTCCACAGTTTATCCATTAACTTGCTGAATGACATATTTTTTCTTTTTTCCTGAGACAGGGTCTCACTTTGTCTTCCAGACTGGAGTGCAGTGGCATGATCAGAGCTCAATGTAGCCTCAATCTCCCAGGCTCAAGTGATCCTCCCACCTCTCTGCCTCCTGAGTATCTCGGACTACAGTTGCATGCCACCATGCATGGCTAAGTTTTGTATTTTTTTGTAGAGACAGTTTTGCCATGTTACCTAGGCTGGTCTCAAACTCCTGGGCTCAAGCAACCCACCCACCTCGACCTTCTAACATGCTAGAATTACAGGCATGAGCCACTGAACCCAGCCAGAGTATTTTGGTACATGAGATGATTCAGGCTCATCTTGTATTTATCCCAATCTCTGACTAGGAATCATCCCTGGTCCCCTTTTCTGTGGATAGTATTTAGGAACTAGTAACTTGGCAGTTGGTGTGCTTACTGTTACTGAGGTGTCACTGTGTTTATGTCCTCTCAGAATGAATCACAAAATACATGTATATGTGTGCACACAACAATTTCTTTATTTGTTCCTATATATTTAAAAGATATGAGCTCTATTCAAATCCCACACTCCAGGTTTTCTAGCTTCTCTTCATTCCTATTTTTATAAACTTTATCTAACAGAGAGAAACCTTGCTGTCATCATTCTCAACATATTTATTTGCTCAATAGTACCAATCTCTCAACAATGCTGCCCATCTCCTCCCCCTGTCCCTTCCACACCTCACCCTCAGCACTCTTGGTGCCAGCAGACAAGAGAACCACGACTCCTCTCATCCCATGAGGCATGTCTAACTCCTCCACTCTGGGGAGGGAAGGCAGAAGAGACATAAAAAGTCAAAGAGGGGAATCAAAAGAAAGAGGAATAGAAGGTCACATTGATTTTTTAAAATAATAAATCATCTTTTGATTGTCCTAATAAACATCTCTTGGTGATGATATAGTTTATGGATATGGCTAGATTTTTCTTTTTCCAATTTTAGGATTTTGCATCTAAATCTATGAGACTTTGGTCTACAGCTTTTTTTTTTTTTTTTTTTTGGTTTGGTTTTGGTATCAAAGTTGCACTGGCTCAAAAACTGAATTGGAAAATTTCCATCTTTTTTCTTCTAGAAAAGTTTGTAAAAGCCTGGTATTATTTCTTAAATATTTGGAATAACTTCAGGGAAGCCATCTGTCCTAGAGTTTTCTCTCTAAGCAAGTTTTCAAATATTCCACTCAAGTATTGTTTGCAGTTGTGACAAGGCACAATCAATCTCTGATATGACCTTGTTTCCAGGGCTTTTACTGATGGCATGTTCACCAAAGGACAAATCCGCTGAAACTTCCTAAGTTCTAATAATTTCTCCTCCGTATTGCAACATGCAAGGCAACAAAAATTCTACTTGTTTTCTTCTCAAATTAGTTTTTCAGCCTCCTGCCCTATGCAGCATGAGACATCTGGAAAATTATTGAGAAATTATATGTGTTTGAAGCCCCTAGTGTATCCATTTTTTCATTGCAGTCGTTTGTTCTCCTGGTTTCTGGTCCCCCCATGCCTTCCCCTGACCCCCAGGGTATGGCCCTCTTCCTGAACCAAGTTCAGTATTCAGGTTCTTCCCTATAGCCAGAAGTGGAAAGGGTGCCCTGAGCAAACAGCTGCATTATGTGCATGTGCTTTCTGGGATTTACCACTCTCTAGAATTTTGCCCCTTTAGTTCTCTTTGCTTCTATAGCACTAAGTTGCATTTAAATATTTTCTGTAATTTCACAGTTGTCCTCAATTGGTCCATTCTGCTGCCAACTACTATACCTTACCCAATAGGGAAACCTATTTTTGCTTTTTTTTTTTTTTGAAACAGTCTCTGTCACTCAGGCTGGAGTGCAGTGGCATGATCTCATCTCACTGAAACCTCCACCTCCCAGGTTTAAGTGATCCTCCCACCTCAGCCTCTGTAGTAGCTGGGATTACAGGTGTGCACCACCATGCCTGGCTAATTTTTGTATTTTTAGTAGAGACAGGGTTTCATCATGTTGGCCAGGCTGGTCTGGAACTCCTGACCTCAGGCCTTGCCCACCTCAGTCTCCCAAAGTACTAGGATTACAGGTGCGAGCCACCATGCCCAGCCTATTTGTGCTTTTTCAAAATCCCATATTTAAGTTATATCTACATATACATTTTAAAGTTATATCACCTATGAAAGATGTGTTTCAGTATGGAGAAAAATAAGAGTTGGGTACAATAAGTCACTCACAGCAGAATGTCCTGGCTTACGTGTTAGACATCTGCTACGGCAGAAACCACCAGAAATCTGGACCCACTGTCTTCTACTAATCCTCATAAGTTGCATGCAAGGCAAGTTGACTTGCCCCTTTGATCCACCATTCTGAGATGGGTCGCCCAAAATTAGTCTGTCCCAGGATTACTCAAAAATTCTGCTGGTGGGCTCCTGCCCTATGGCCCCAGATTAAGGGTTTTTCTCTTTCTTCCTGGACATACAAGAGCACTCTTGTGGTTGCCTTTGCTAAAAAATCTTCCCTTATTTTACATATGGCTAAGCAATAAACTTTTGAATTACTTATAGCCATTGGCTCCAGAGTGGCATCTTTTCAAGTCTCTTAGAAAATAGTGTTGACAATGAACTAAACCAGATATTAACAAAATAAAATGCTATTTCTCAATAAAAACCTTTTTTCACGTGGTAGTTCATGCCTGTAATCCCAGCACTTTGGGAGGCCAAAGTGGGCGGATCATGAGGTCAGGAGATTGAGATCACAGTGAAACCCTGTCTCTATTAAAAACACAAAAAATTAGCCAGGCGTGGTGGTGGGCACCTGTAGTCCCAGCTACTTGGGAGGCTGAAGCAGGAGAATGGCTTGAACCCGGGAGGCGGAGCTTGCAGCAAGCCGAGATTGCGCCACTGCACTCCAGCCTGGGTGACACAGCAAGACTCCATCTCAAAATTAAAAAGAAAGAAAGAAAGAAAGAAAGAAAAAACCTTTTTTCCACATTTTCTTAAATTGCTAGATATCCTGCAAATCAACACCTCTGGTCTATATTAAATTTAGATTTTAACTTAAAACGTCCACACATTGGATACAATTAAAAATACTTTCTCTACTATGGGATGTTCACTGAGAAGGTACTTCTTATTACATATGCTCTATAAAATATAACCTCATAGTAAATTCTTTCCTATAGTTTCCTATAGTTTGTGCATTTTCTCTGGCCTCTTGACTTCAGACAGAATGATTTTCCACATTCATTATATTCATAGGGTTTCTGTCTTATATGCGTTCTGTGGTGAACAATTAGGGCTGACTTCTGACGAAAGGCTTTCCCACATTCATTACACCCAAAAGGTTTCTCTCCTGTGTGTCTTTTCAGATGTTCTGTGAAACTGGAGTAGCAGAAAAATGTGTCCCTTCTCAACCTAGGGATGCTGAGCCACATTTAACCCTGTATGAACTCTCTGATGTTTACTGAGGTGTGACATTGAGCAAAATGTTTCCTATATTCAATCACCAATAATTTTTTTCCACTTTCAGTTTTATAATATAATGTATGGTCCAAATTCCAGAATAATGTTTTCCTGCATTCCATTATCTTCACATTGTTTTTTCCCTCTTTAAGTTTTCTTCTATACTGTAAGAATTGACTTCAGGGCAAGGGTGTTCTCATTATCATTATATTAACAGATTTCTCTCACTCTTTATGTTCTCTGTTCTACAAAGTTCTGACTTCACCCAGAGTAATTTCCCTCACTTACTACAACTCTAGGGTTTCACCCCAAGCGTGTTCTCTGACGTACAGTTAGTTTTGACTTAATATGGAATGATTTTCCACAAACATTACATTCATAGGGTTTCTCCCCTGTGTGTGTGCTATGATGTGCAATGAGTTTTGACTTCACACAGAATGATTTTCCACATTCATTACATTCGTAGGGTTTCTGTCTTATATGAGTTCTCTGGGGAACAATTAGGGTCGACTTCTGATAGAAGGTTTTCCCACATTCATTACATCTGAAAGGTTTCTCCCCTGTATGTCTTCTCAGATGTTCTGTGAAACTTCAGTAGTAGCAGAAAAATTCTCCACACTGAATACATTTATAAGGTTTCTCACCTGTGTGAGTTCTTAGATGTTTAGTAAGGGTTGACTTCTCAGAGAATGACTTCCCATATTCATTACATTCATAAGGTTTTTCTCCTGTGTGAATTCTTTGATGTTCAATGAGGTCTGATTTCTGAGAAAGGCTTTCCCACATGCATAGCATTCATAGGGCTTCTCCCCTGTGTTTTCTGATGCACTGTAAGGACTGACTTAAATGAGAAGACTTTCCCACATTCATGACATTCATATGGTTTCTCCTCTGTGTGTGTTCTCTGATGTTGAGTAAGGGCTGACTTTTCACTGAAGGATTTCCCACATTCTAGACATCTGTAAGATCTCTCCCCTGTGTGAGTTCTTTGATGCTTAATGAGGTCTGAATTCTTACAGAAGGTCTTCTCACATTCATGACATTCATAGGGTTTTCCCCGTGTGTGTTTTCTGATGTCTCGTGTGAGCTGACTTCTGGGTGAAGGTTTTTCCATATTCATGACATTCATAAGGCTTTTATCCTGTATATGTTCTATGTTGTAAATGAAGGACTAATTTTTCACTGACAAAGTTTCCACATTCATTATATTTAATAATATTGTAAATTGAGTGGGTTCTCTGAATTGGAATGGGATTTAACCTCTGGCTGAATGGGTAAACACTCTGATGTTCAAGGAGATTGATTCCTCAAAGATATTTTCTCCACATTCTTTGCATTCATAGTGGTTCTCTTTTGGATGTGTTTGCTGATGAGTAATGAAAAATGACATACCACAGGTTTTCCCATGTTCCGTATATTTGCAGGTTTTCTGTCCTGTGTAAGCTCTCTAATATACAAGGAAGAGTGAATTCTCAGTGAAAGCTTTCCCATATTTATTATATTCAAAAGGTTGCTCCCAATTTTTAATTTTCTGATGCCAAATGAGGCATTCAGCCAGAAGCCGTTCCCATTTTTATTATATTCATAAGATTCCTCTTCAAAATGAATTATTTCATGCTTTCATCACAGAAACATTTTCCACCTTTGTTAAACTCATTGAATTTCATTCTTGAATAGTTTCTACTAGTATTAATTAATTCTGAAATATAGAGTGACAAGAAAGATTAGTTGACAAGGATATGTAAGATAAATAAAGTTAGCATTATGTTTGAAGGCTTAGTTCAGGCCATTATCTCCTCACACCTACATTATGACAACAATGTGCACACTTCCAGTCTTATACCTCTTTTCAACTCAACACAGCAGCAACAAATCAAATTTCTAAAATTTCTAATTCATAGATAGTCCTATAATCCAGACTCCAATTCTGTGTGTTGTTGTTGTTGCTGCTGTTGATGTTGTTGTTGTTTTGGAGACAGAGTCTTGCTCTGTCACCCAGGCTGGAGTGTAGTGACATGATCTTGGCTCATTGCAACCTCTACTCCCTGGTTTCAAGTGATTCTCATGCCTCAACCTCCCAAGCAGTTGGGACTACAGGCATGCACCACCATGTTCAGCTAGTTTTTATGTTTTTAGTAGAGACAGGATTTTGCCATGTTAGCCAGGCTGGTCTCGAACTCCTGGCCTCAAGCAATTCACCCACATTGAACTTCCAAAGTGCTAGGATTACAGACATGAGCCACTGCACCTGGATTAATTGTTTTTCTAGCTCTGATTCACTAGGAATAAAAGTATGCAACAATAAGAGTGAAATCAATGAGTGAACAAGCCACCCTTGCCAGAGGATCAGGCTTATGATTCTATTCCGGCTGTGGGATTTGCCCTTTATTCCATCAACTGTACTACACTATATTGAGTCCAAGATCCCAAGAACAAACACTTTAACCAAGCCATTCTTTTACAAGTCTAGAATGAGTATATTTCACTCTAGGTAAGTTTCGCTGTTTGTCCCTCATAAATTGCTCATTCCCATCATAATCTTATACTGATTGCTTTTTCATTGTCAGCTTACAGTCTAACAGTGTTTTTAAAAAGTTGCCCTCCCAAATTTTCCCACCACTTCCAGGTTCATTTACTAAAAAAGATGAAAGGACTGTTTGTATAATTCATTCAAGCACAAACATCAGCTGGATTGCTATTAAAATATTCTTTGTTAAACACTGAATTTTAAAATATTCCATGCAGTTCTGTTTTCGTTCACCAACTATGTCCCCGGCAGCCATTACTTTATCTATGATTTTCTCTCAGTGCCCTACATAGATATTTAATCATTGGTACTTAAAAAATAATGTTTATCAGTATTACCTAGAGAGCTTTTCCAAACACAAATTTTTTCAGGCTTCACGCTGAAATCGTTACTGTTTGAACATTTAATTTTAATTTTAATTGCTTTTTATATTTTAGTGACAGAATCGCTCTGTCACCCAGGCTGCAGTGCAATGGCACAAACACAGCTCACTGCAGCCTCTTCCCAGGCTAAAGCAAGACTCTCACCTCAGTTCCCCAGTAGCTGAGATCACAAAAATTAGCCAGGCATGGGATCGCAGGTGTGTGCCACCATGCCTGGCTAATTTTTTAATTTTTCATAGAGATGGGGTCTCCCTGTGTTGCCCAAGCTAGTCTCAAATTCCTGGGCTCAAGCGATCCTCCCATCTCAGCCTCCCAAAGTGCTGGGATTACAGGCATGAATCACAGGGCCCAGGCTATTTTAAAATAATTCTGTAAAAAATGGTGAATATGGTAGAATGCTAATGAAAGAGCAACTCAAAAAAGCATGTATAGAAAAATATATTTAATATTTTGTAGAAGGAGGGATGGTCTTTACTAGGAAGAGTACACTAGGTAGCTTTCTGGGGGTATTGAAAAATCACTCTATATATTCATCTCAATGATGGGTATATGAGTGTTATATATATATATTTTTATATATATATAAAATTTATTAAGCTGTGACAACTATATAATTTATACTACAATTAAAAAAACAAGAAGTGTGTAGGGAAGTGATACTGGGAGATGCTGGGTGATTCAGAGCCACTGGATATTTGGGTCATGTCAACATGCTACTTCCAAAGGTCTGGAGCCTCTAAAATATGATTCCTGGAGAACATTTCAATGGTCTTGTTATCTGAACTTACCCTTTGGAATATACCTACATCCATCTGGCACTTACTAACTCACCCAGATGACTCTGTAATGGAAATTTCTCCTCTAATATCCATGGCTCCTCGCCTTTCTCCAACTTGAGGATCACTTCTGGTTTAGGAATGCAATACCCTGTGAATGAGAATTATATTACTTGGGACAAACTGGGTGGGCTTCCCTGAAGGAGGAAGACAGTATACACCAAACAGTGTACACACACACACACACACACACACATACACACACACACACACACACCCCATTTAATACTGTTATGGGGGCAGAGAAAAAACATTCTTTCTGGTATCCAAAAGGGATACATTGTCCTTGACCTCTGAACATCAAACCTAACTATTATTTATATTATATACAAAAGTTCCACAAGTTTCTATTGATAAGAAAGGACATACATTCTGGTCTTCTACATGGGAAACAATTCCTACCTACCTACTGAGACAAAGTGGCTGTAGTTCTCCAGCATCACATCCCTGGACAGGGTCGTCTGAGCAGGGTCCGGATGCTGCCACTCCTCTTGAGTGAAGCCCACAGTCACATCCTTAAATGACACTGATCCCTGGAAAATAACAGTTCTGCTCAGTCTGAAGTGATAAGAATCAGCTGACGTGAAAAAAGATGTTTAGGGACTAATTCTTACCATTTTTATTATTGAAAATTAAATAGAAAATGTTATAAAGGGCCTCCATGATATATGTTGCTTTATGTTACACATTGTGGATAAAAAATCAAGAGAAATATCCTGTTGGTGCATTAATTTATTACTTAATGCAAAAATATTTAGTGCCTACATGTGCCTAGAGCTTTCCTAGTTTCTGAGTATTCCAATTTGAATACAAAAGTCTTCCTTACAAAAGAGGAACATATCTTCTCATAAGGAAACATACATACAGAGACAGATCTACCACAGGATTAAAGGACTCACTACACAGATATGTGCAACACAGATGGATCATAAAAGTGTTCTGCGTAAATTCATGTGAGAGTGTGTCAACATATTAGATTTCACTGAAGTGATAAAACTTTAGTTCCTTTGTAAACATGTAAAACTCAATAAAAGTTTAAAAACCAAAAAAAAAAAAAAAAAAAAAAAAAAAAAAAAAAAAAAAAGAAGATGGTCGAATAGGAACAGCTCCAGCATCCAGCTCCCAGCATGAGCGACACAGAAGACAGGTGATTTCTGCATTTTCAACTGAGGTACTGGGTTCATCTCATTGGGGCGTGTTGGAGAGTTGGTGCTGGTCAGTGGGTGCAGCCCAACCAGCGAGAGCTGAAGCAGGGCGAGACATAGCCTCACCTGGGAAGCTCAAGGGGGAAGGGAATTCCTTTTCCTAGTCAAGGGAAACTGAGACACATAACACCTGGAAAATCGGGTAACTCCCACCCTAATACTGTGCTTTACCAAGGGTCTTAGCAAACAGCACAGCAGGAGACTATATCCAACGCCTGGCACAGAGGGTCCCACACCCACGGAGCCTACCTCATTGCTAGCATAGCAGTCTGAGATCTAACTGCAAGGCCGCAGAGAGGCTGGGGGAGGGGCACCTGCCATTGCTGAGGTGTAAGTAGGTAAACAAAGCCGCTGGGAAGCTCGAACTGGGTAGAGCCCACCACAGCGTAAGGAGGCCTGCCTGTCTCTGTAGACTCCACCTCTGGGGACAGGGTATAGCTAAACAAAAAGCAGCAGAAACCTCTGCAGATGTAAATGTCCCTGTCTGAAAGCTTTGAAGAGAGCAGTAGTTCTCCCAGCAGGGAGGTTGAAATCTGAGAACGGAAAGACTGCCTGATCAAGTGGGTCCCTGACCCTTGAGTAACCTAACTGAGAGACATCCCCCACAAGGTGCAGACTGACACCTCACACCTTGTACGGCTGGGTACAACTCTGAGACAAAGCTTCCAGAGCAAGAATCAGGCAGCAACACTTGCTGTTTGGCAATATTCTATCTTCTGCCGCCTCTTGCTGGATACTCAGCCAAACAGGGTCTGGAGTGGACCTCAAGCAAAATCCAACAGACCTGCAGCTGAGGGTCCTGGCTGTTAGAAGGAAAACTAACAAACAGAAAGGACACCCACACCAAAACCTCATCAGTACATCACCATCATCAAAGACCAAAGGCAGATAAAACCACAAAGATGGGGAAAAAGCAGGGCAGAAAAGCTGTAAATTCAAAAAATTAGAGTGCATCTCCCCCTCCAAAGGAATGCAGCTCATCACCAGCAACAGAACAAAGCTGGATCGAGAATGACTTTCACAAGTTGAGAGAAGAAGGCTTGAGTCAATGAAATTTCTCAGAGCTAAAGGAGGAACAATGACCTAGCGCAAAAAATTAAAAACCTTTTAAAAAGAATAGAAGAATGGATAACTAGAATAACCAATGCAGAGAAGTCCATAAACAAAGTGATAGAGATTAAAACCATGACATGAGAACTACATGACAAATGCACAAGCTTCAGTAACCAACTCGATCAACTGGAGGAAAGATTATCAGTAATTGAAGACCAAATGAATGAAATGATGCGAGAAAAGAAGTTTAGAGAAAGAAGAGTAAAAAGAAATGAACAAAGCCTCCAAGAAATATGGGATTATGTGAAATGACCAAATCTACATCTGATTGGTGTGCCTGAAAGTGACGGGGACAATGTAACCAAGTTGGAAAACACCCTGCAGGATATTAACCAGGAAAACTTCCCCAACCTAGCAATGCAGGCCAACATTCAAATTCAGGATATCAGAGAACGCCACAAAGATACTCCTCGAGAAGAGCAACTCCAAGACACATAATTGTCAGATTCACCAAAGTTGAAATGAAGGAAAAAATGTTAAGGGCAGCTAGAGAGAAAGGTCGGGTTACACACAAAGGGAAGCCCATCAGACTACAAGCAGATCTCTTGGCAGAAACTCTACAAGCCAGAAGAAAGTGGGGGCCAATATTCAACATTCTTAAAGAAAAGAGTTTTCAACCCAGAATTTCATATCCAGCCAAACTAAGTTTCATAAGTGAAGGAGAAACAAAATCATTTAGAGACAAGCAAATGCTTAGAGATTTTGTCACCACCAGGCCTGCCCTACAAGAGATCCTGAAGGAAGCACTAAACATGGAAAGAACAACTGATAACAGCCACTGCAAACTGATAACAGCCACTGCAAAGACATGCCAAATGAAAAGACCATCACTGTTACGAAGAAACTGCATCAACTAATGAGCAAAATAACCTGCTAATATCATAATGACAGGATCAAGTTCACACATAACAATATTAACCTTAAATGTAAATGGGCTAAATGGTCCAACTAAAAGACACAAACTGGAAAATTGGATAAAGAGTTAAGACCCATCAGTTTGCTGTATTCAGGAGACCCATTTCAATTGCAGAGACACACATAGGCTCAAAATAAAGGGATGGAGGAAGCTCTACAAAGAAAATGGAAAACAAAAAAAAGGCAGGGGTTGCAATCCTAGTCTCTGATAAAACAGACTTTAAACCATCAAAGATCAAAAGAGACAAAGAAGGCCATTACATAATGGTAAAGGGATCAATTCAACAGGAAGAGCGAACTATCCTAAATATATATGCACCCAATACAGGAGCACCCAGATTCATAAAGCAAGTCCTTAGAGACTTACAAAGAGACTTAGACTCCCATACAATAATAATGGGAGACTTTAACACTCCACTGTCAACATTAGACAGATCAATGAGACAGAAAGTTAGCAAGGATATCCAGGAATTGAACTCAACTCTGCACCAAGCATACCTAATAGACATCTACAGAACTCTCCACCACAAATCCACAGATTATACATTCTACTCAGCACCACATCACACTTATTCCAAAATTGACCACATAGGTGGAAGTAAAGCACTCCTCAGCAAATATAAAAGAACAGAAATTATAACAAACTGTCTCTCAGACCACAGTGCAATCAAACTAGAACTCAGGACTAAGAAACTCCATCAAAATTGCTCAACTACCTGGAAACTGAACAACCTGCTCCTGAATGACTACTGGGTACATAACGAAATGAAGGCAGAAATAAAGATGTTCTTTGAAACCAATGAGAACAAAGATACAACATACCAGAATCTCTGGGACACGTTTAAAGCAGTGTGTAGAGGGAAATTTGTAGCACTAAATGCCCACAAGAGAAAGCACGAAAGATCTAAAATTGACACCCTAACATCACAATTAAAAGAACTAGAGAAGCAAGAGCAAATACATTCAAAAGCTAGCAGAAGGCAAGAAATAACTAAGATCAGAGCAGAATTGAAAGAGATAGAGACACAGAAAACCCTTCAAAAAAAATCAATGAATCCAGGAGTTGGTTTTTTGAAAACATCAACAAAATTGATAGACCACTAGCAAGAGTAATAAAGAAGAGAGAAGAATCAAATAGACACAATAAAAAATGGTAAAGGGGATATCACTGACCCTACAGAAATACAAACTACCATCAGAGAATATTATAAACACCTCTACACAAATAAACTAAAAACCTAGAAGAAATGGATAAATTTCTGGACACATACACTCTCCCAAGAATAAACCAGGAAGAAGCTGAATCCCTGAATAGACCAATAGCAGGCTCTGATATTGAGGCAACAATTAATAGCCTACCAACCAAAAAAAGTCCAGGACCAGATGGATTCACAGCTGAATTCTACCAGAGGTATAAGGAGGGGGTGGTACCATTCCTTCTGAAACTATTCCAATCAATAGAAAAAGAGGGAATCCTCCCTAACTCATTTTATGAGGCCAACATCATCCTTATACCAAAGCATGGCAGAGACACAATAAAAAGAGAGAATTTTAGACCAATATCCCTGATGAATATCGATGCAAAAATCCTCAGTAAAATACTGGCAAATTGAATCCAGCAGCACATCAAAAAGCTTATCCACCATGATCAAGTGGGCTTCATCGCTAGGGTGCAAGGCTGGTTCAACATACGGAAATCAATAAACATAATCCAGCATATAAACAGAACCAAAGACAAAAACCACATGATTATCTCAATCGATGCAGAAAAGGCCTTTGACAAAATTCAACAGCCCTTCATGCTAAAAACGCTCAATAAATTCGGTATTGATGGAACATATCTCAAAATAATAAGAGCTATTTATGAAAAACCCACAGCCAATATCATACTGAATGGGCACAAACCGGAAAAATTCTCCTTGAAAACTGGCACAAGACAGGGATGCCCTCTCTCACCACTCCTATTCAACACAGTGTTGGAAGTTCTGGCTAGGGCAATTAGGCAAGAGAAAGAAACACAGGGTATTCAATTAGGAAAAGAAGTCATATTGTCCCAGTTTGCAGATGACATGATTGTATATTTAGAAAACCCTATCATCTCAGCCCAAAATCTCCTTAAGTTGATAAGCAACTTCAGCAAAGTCTCAGGATACAAAATCAATGTGCAAAAATCACAAGCATTCTTGTACACCAATAACAGACAAACAGAGAGCAAAATCATGAATGAACACCCATTCACAATTGCTTCAAAGAGAAGAAAATGCCTAGGAATCCAGCTTACAGGGGATGTGAAGGACCTC